TCGTAACCTGGTGCCTATGGTCATCTGACTTGGATTAATCGGCCTAAAGCTCGTTATATGGGTCAATTCAGTCGCTCAATGAACAAGAATATGCACGTAAGATATAATTCACGAGAATAGCGATATAAATAAAAATTACATACTTATCTTCAAGGGGAGAAAATAAACTTGTCATGTATTTGAACTCGTTTTTAGATCCTAACATTACATTTGGGTTTGACTTTCATCAGTAGGGATTATGCTTATTTAACAATGATGTTAGTATGTACTTTCTCACAAATTTAAGGTTTGGAGTCAATTTCACGAGAAAAATAGTGGAACTTTATAAGCATAAGTCACTTATACATTTTACTCCATCCTGAACTTCACAGAGTAAGTGGGAAAGTCCTTATTAATAATGCTCGACTTATGAATGTATGCATGGTTGGGATATTCGGTCTGACAGGAGTTTTATTTACTCAATTTAATTTTTTTTTTAATTAACAAAAATATATAGTACTATATTTGTTCAATTTAAGCATTATTTTAAAAAACATTATGTTATTTTTCTTAATTTTTTTAAGTGTTATTTCTATCAATTGAAGATGTTTGGTACTATTTCTCTTAATTGGAGTGTTAATTCTGTCAATTGAGGATTATTTATGCCATTTGTCTCATTTTTTGAATTTGGAGCGTTTTTTCTGTCAATTGCACTTTTGTTAGCTTCTCGATAGAACTCGCTCGAGCGACAGCAGCAGAAGTTGCCTGGCTCGCTTATCGCTCGAGCTTCACTCCAGCGACATGCTGCCTTTTTGAATTTTAAAGAAATTTTCAGGGTTTTTCGCCTTTTTTTCCCATTTCCTATCTTGATTTCTCTAAAAATACTTGCACCCACATCAAATATGTGTATTGCACACCCACCTATTAAACACTCCCAATCACTCCTTGTACGGAGTATTTCATCGATTCTTCATGCTCAAAAGGTAATTTTTCGAAAACTTTTACTTTATTGTGTTTTTTTATACTTTGGCACTGTTGTTGATGCTTTCTTGTTCCTTTAATCATTTTGATTGAGATTCTTTATAATGCATTACATGTTTTGATTATTGGCATCGATTTTCATCGAATTTTTGCATGATTTTCAACAAATATTTGTTTTGTGCAGTTTGGCATGATTTTTATGATTTTAGTTTGTTTCACTGTAGTCAATCATGTAGTGTTGGTTGTTGATGTGTGTTGCATTCGTTTTCGTGAATGTTTGGAGCTTTGGGTCAGTGAGGGTGAGATGGTTGTTTTGAGTGTTTTCGCGTGCTTTTGGCGTGATTTTTGATTTCATGATTATTTCTTTCAATGGACTCTTCGGTTGTTGGTGGTGGTTTGAATGTTTTTGGTTTGGGAGTTGGAGTGTTGGGATGGTAGTTCAGTGCGTCGATTGTGTGTTGTACATTGTGGTTGATGTTGGGAACACTTAGTGACGTCACGTCACAACGTCTTGACGTTACGTCCCTGCGTCTAGACATCATGGGACGTGTCATGTAGTCACGTCACTTACGTCTAGGCATCATTGCATGTCGTCATGCATTCATGTTAGGGCACATTACTTGATTATCATATTTACCTCGTTTTGTGTGCATTCATGCATACCATGCATGTTATGGTTTGGATCAACTTATATCGAGGTTTTAATATTGTGTTTCCATTCTTTCAGATTCCGCCTAAGAGAGCACGAACAACCCCTTTCACCCCTAGTAGCTCCATTTCATTTACTAGGTCTAAGTTTATATCTGCTGTCGCCCAAGATTTTTTTAGGTCGCAGTTTTCCTTGCCTCCTATTTTGGTCGAGCACAAGGTCATCATGTCTGATTTATCCCCCGACCTCGTTGCTATCTTTACTTCTCAGGGTTGGGAGTCTTTACTGGTAGGATTAGTACCCCCACTGAGCCTTCTTGTCGAGAAGTTCTACGCTAACACCCATGATGTTACTGGTTCTTCTTTTTAGGTTTTTCTTCGGGGTATGGTAATTAAGATTACTCCGGACGTTATTTCGAGTCTCATCCATATTCCTCGAGTAGTCCATCCATGTTTCCTTATCTTACTCCCGATTCCCTTCCGGCGGACTCCTTAGTCCGTTCGACGATGTTTAACATACCGTTGGAGGGAGGTACCGGTGCTATTCGCACTGAATCTCTTCCGACTGGGTGCTAGATTCTATTGCGCATTGTGTGCACGAATCTTTGGCCTGTTTCCCACACTTCTTCATTACCGATGGAGAAGGCCCGTTTCCTATACGCCCTTCTTATGCCAGCAGATTTTGAGGGCTTTCCGTACGACGAGTACAAGGGTGGGGCTACTATATGCTTGCTTTATTTTTAGGTTGGTTGCAGCCTTAGGAGCTAGCTTTTCCGAGGGGGTTCCGCGGCAGTTTCTCGACCTATTGGCCATACTACCATCGCCCAGAGTCGGTCTCATGGTTCTTCTGAGCCCGCACAGACAGTTGACCAGACTGTGCCGGCTGACCCTATTGATGACCTAATCTCTTTTGACACCTCCGATTTCCCTTCGCTCCTCCGCTCTCTGATATCCCATCCACATCTACTTCGGCTCCTCCTACTTTGACGTCAGTCCCTCCTCCTTCCGAGTTAATCCCTTCTGCTTCTACTCCCATTGACCCTTCGGTTGATCTTTTGGGACAGATGAACGTGCTGAACGAGCAGCAGGCTCGGATGATGGCGAAGATCACACTGTTGCGTGCTACCGTTGACAGACGCACTGTCGAGTTCACTACACTTCGGGGTTCTTTGGCTATATTCAGCATGGACTTCCATGGATTCACCGTTATTGGGATGATGATGCTGATTCCGAAGAGAGGACGGATTTCGATGATGCTGCCAGTGCTTCCTAGTTTTAGGCTTACCCCTTGTCATTGTATTATAAAAAAGGGAAGTAGATATATGAATGTAGCCGTATTAGTTTTTGTTGATAGAGGAGAGTAGATAGTAGATTTTTTTAATGCTTACATTGTTGTATCTATTTATCTACTATCTGGATGTAATTCCTTTTGATATATATATATATATATATATATATATAATGATTTTTACTCATTCAATTCGCTAAATTCAGTGTTTGATGTTTTTATAGTGTCAATGTTCGTTTTGGTATGATGGGTTGGTTGATACTATGGGCCCGTTTGATTCTCATTATTGTAGAATGAGAATAAAAAATATAGTCGTTATTGGGCCCCACACAAGAGATAGAAATTCAAAATTGATGTATTGATATGATGGATAACGGTCATATTTTTCATTTTTATGGATGAAAAATGAGAAACAAATGAGGGCTATGTCTTAGTTTAGCTATGAGTTACAATTGCTTAAATAATTCTTACACTTCAACTGTTTGAACTATGTTTATTATTGATTTTGTTTTCCACATATTTTACACTGGGTATTTGAATTGTCTATTTTAGGAAACAGGTATTGAAACTGAAATGAGGTTTTTGTTCAAGATAGATTTAAGTTTAAATCATTTTTTAGTCTGTAATTTTCATTTACTTACAACCCTGACTTATATTGTAGTTTTGTCACAGAATGTCAAATGGGGAGTTTATTAGGTTTTAGATTATTTGTAATTGGCGATTCTGTGAACAAAATGACTGAAATTGACATATTGTAAATGTTCAAGGAGAAATGTGCAAATACGTTGAAAATATGGTTTCTATGTCTAGGGTTCAAGAATGACAAAAAGAGGGAAACGGCGCGAATTTTCTTTAGACTGTCACCAAGGTTCGACTCGAGTTACAAAAGTAGAAATTTCATCGTTTGACTGTCACTTTGCCTTCGCTCAAGCGACAGTCTGTTGCTCGACTGTCGTTGAGCTCTCACTCGAACGACAACTTTATTCAGGAAATTTTTGTTTCACGTTTTAAAGGCTTTTTCCATGGTCCATCTATTTTATACCCTACTTATAAATACCAAAATCCTTATGTACGAGTTTGATGAGGTTGAACATTGAGAAAAAGGCTACAGAGTGCTTCCTTCATATTTCATTCTTTCAACCTTTACCTGTGAGACTTTTGGTGAGAAAAACATCAGTTCAATAATCCAAATACCAAACTATTGTTCCTTTACATCTGATCAAAGTTCTGAAGATCGAGAAAGTTTGACTGAAGTTCCAGTTTGTGAAGAACGCGATGTTCTTCGTAAATCCACATGAGAAAAACGATTTCACAAAGTTAGGAGTTGTTACAGAAGAACATAATCCAAGAGAGTTTTGGAAACTGCAGTTGGAGTGGTGCAGGAGCACATAATCCAAGAAAGTTGTTAGAATTGCAGTTAGGAGATCAGATTGTACATGTTGTCGTCTAGGCTGGTAAACTGTAAGTTACATATAGTGAATTATTGACTGTCAAAGCGCCTAGAGTTTTTTCCAGTTGGTTTTCTCCGTGATCATTCCGATGTTTGATTTATTACTTTATTATTCATTGTTTATTATACAATGGCGATAATTCAACTTAGGATAAATTGACTTGAATGTTGAATCATCTAAAAGAAAATTAAAAAGTGACTTGTTGCTAGTTAATTCGTAAAAATATTTTTAATTCCGCATTACATACCTATTCACACCTATCTAGGTATTGTTAGGGTCGAATTGCGTAACTTTCAGATTCAATGTGAAGCAAAATTTGCAGCTATTTGTCGAAATGAAATGGCTATGCAAAATAACAATCATTCTTCAAAAAAGAAGTCACCTCAATTCAAAAACCTTTGCAACACCATTCAAGTAGATCCCTTCTTTAACATCAAGTTTGTATGCACAAACAATGTAATAATCGAAAAAGACTATTATATTCTGCTGAAAACCCACATAAATTCACATTTATTTGTCACCGAGAACCTCAAATTACAAAGAAAAAACTCGAAGCAAACCAGGAAGAGATGGGAATAATGCCATCTAATGTAGAAAACACACTCCTAACATCATAGTTTTCCAATTATTCCAACAATTCAATGCAATTCAATTCAATGGGAAGATATCTTTAGATTGAAAGATTTATTGATCCAGGCCACCAAACTTCTAGACCCCTTCCGACTCATTTCCTGTGACTTCTCATCATCAATGGCCCTCTCTGTCTGAGGCTTCTTGCACAGCATGAAATTTCGCACCCCAAGCGATCCAATCGACGCCCACGGAGACAGAACTACAACCAAAGACAGCATATAAACAAAAACTCGTCCTAAAAGATATACAATTTTCACTCAAAATAAGTACAAAATATAAGCACCTAAAGCTTAAAGCAGTCGCATAGATATTGCCCCTAAAATTTTAAAGTTGATAATCAAAATGTTCATCAAAATTATAATACACTCATTGATCAGAATCCCCTAACTTTATTTATATCAATTATTCTAAAAATCCAAAAACAATAGTACTATAAGATCAATTGCTTATACCATACAACCAAGCGTACAAATCAATCTCAATTCGAGAAAAACATAAATATTAAAAAATCCCATAAATTTAATGAGAAATTAATACCTTCAGTTCCGGCATTGGGGCAATACAGAACGAAATTGTTGAGATCTGACCCGAGAATGGGTAATCGGCCCTCACGAGCATACGATTTCAAAGCGGTATCAATCACCGCAGCAACAAGTTCCTCCTCATTCACCACGAATCTAATCGGACCCGCACTACCCAACACCGTAACACTAATCAAAAATCGGATGCCCTTTGCGGCCTGATTCTTCTTCTGCTTATAAAGCAACATATTTCGCTTTTTTTTTTTCTTTATAATTGAATGGCAAAAACAAAGAACAAAATGGAAAAACGAGAGAACAAAAAGAAATGGGTTAAAAGGACACAAAATGGGTTTATCGATTCACGGGTCGAGACCTAGGCAGCGGTAGTGCCAGCCTTCATTACAGGATCCAACACAGAAGAAGGAATTGGCAACAAAAATCCCCCTTCTTGGAGAAGAAGAAAAGGGGGAGAACATCAATTGTACAGACAATATTTCCACCATTCACAATGGAATCGAATGAAATGAAGCTTCAAACAACAAAGCAAACACAGAGAAAGAAAAGGCAAATAGAGTAGTAAGATGGACGCTTTAAGGGAGCGGTTGGGTATTTATTGATGAGTAGAATACTAATTATAGTAATTGTATTGTTTTGTTTTAACTATTTTGTGTGTAATAATTAATTAGAATACTAACACAGTCCGTGAATTTTTTTAAAGGGAAATTGGAGTAGAGCTTTCAAATTGTCTCACAAGGCTTTCAAACTTTTCATCTTACCTCCAATATTTTAACAATGTCATCAAAAAGAAATGTGAACGATTTTCATTTAAAAGCATGTTAGTTGACCAAAATTTCATGAATTCACCTTCATTTGACTTATTTTAATTGAGGACAATAGAGTCAATACAATAATCTCACTTATCAATTGCACATGGAAATCAATGGGGGAAATCCTTCTCCTACACATCCCCATATCCACCCCAACAGCAACAAGGATATCTCCCCCATTGATTTTAGATCGAACGTCGGATAGTGAGGGGAGATAACTCGGTCTATTTAAACAAAGGAGAATCTCCCTTGTTAAGGAGAGATGGGAAAATTAAGGAGATTCTCCTTGTTTTTCAACCAACTAGTGGGATTTTTTTCATTTGAGTTCTCAAAATCACACCCCGATTTTTGAAAAGAAGGGAAAATCTCCTTGATTTTTCAATTTTCAAAATTGCACTTCTAATCTATGATACGATTTGAGAAAAAAAAACATATTTGATGGTATTTTTTTTTTTTTTTCAATATTTGATGGTAAAGGCACGAGAATATAGGGTTTTGGATATGGGTGGTAGTTAGTGATGGCAATCGAGCCGAGCGGCTCGTCGGCTCGGCCGCTCGGCTCGTACTGTAGCGATCCACGAGCCGTTCGGGCTCGTCAAAAGNGAGCTCTCCCTCGAGCAACGAGTCGAGCAGATGCTCGGCTCGTTTTATAACTAGCCACGAGCTCGAGCTCGAGCTCATGTGCAACGAGCCGAGCCGGCTCGACTCGGTCCGGCCCATTGCCATCACTAGTGGTAGTGGAAGGTTAGATCGGAGAATATGACCTATTTTCTTCATTTTTATTTCTTTTATTCAGTTTAATTAATTTTCTTTTAATTGTTATGAAGAATAAATGTGAAAGGACCATTTTGCCCTTATTAAAATTGTTCAAATAAATGTCAAACATTTTGACTTTTGATTAACTAATGGTCTTTTTGATGATACCCATCCAAAGTTCCTTACGGTGCATATATTAATTAAAAGGCTTGGGATAGGTGCTAAAATTAAAAGGTTTGGAACCTTCATTGTATTTTTTTTTATATTTTAAAAAAGCTACTATTTCGATAAGAAGACAATTTGAGTTTACACATGAGCAATATATAAATATCAATTAGGTTTTCCAACTTTATTTCATCTTAATTAAATTACTGAACTTCGAAAGTAACTTGTTTATAGAAAATTTAGGAAATTTTGATTTGTACTCTATAATTTTGATAAGGTTCATAATAATATGGGTGGGTAGTTGTTTATGGACAAATTCCATGTGAACGAATAATTCTTGACTTTTGTGAAAAACTTTTATGAGGTGTTTTGGTCCCACAAAGATTTGAAAAGTGATTTCCATATTAAAAACTTGTTTGATTCATCTTCTTCAAAAAAAAAATTATTTTTTCAAAACTCGTTTTCAACCACACATTCTTTATTAAGATAATATTACACGTAAATTCAAAATTTTTCTTTAGTTTTTAATTACATATTTTTCATCAAATTTCTATTTAAAATGCATTCTTCACTCAATAATGTGCATCATACATGATATAAATATTTGATAAGTAGCTTATTTGTCGAAATTAATAATAAAAGCTTTAATTTTCAATTATAACAATGTTAGTTTCTTAGAACACATAGAGCGTGTCTGGTAGCAATTAAAATGGCCCAAAAATTCATTTTCCTACTGTTGCACATCACTTCAGCCGCAAACCTTGACCGGCCATCTCACATGCGGGCCTCACTAATGGTCAGAATTTTGATTACAATTCGGCCAAAATCAGCACCAGACACGCTCATAATGTACGAGTCCCCAGTCTAATATAACAATTATTTATTATATGTTTAAAACGCGAATCCAACGTAAAGCTTTGTGCAGGTGATAAGAAAATGATGAAGACGTACCTACAGGTAACACCAATGAGACCTGAAAAGGCAACCCGATTTGGTCCATTGCAATTCATGAAGTTTAATTGATTGAAAGTAACATATTGTCATGATGAGGACCAAACACTTATTTTTCAAAGAACAAAAAATATCTTCTATTTAAAAATTACTATTCATAAGCTATGGTACTTATCAAAAAAATTAAAATTAGCATTCGATATAAGTGAATCATATAGTCGAAAGTAATCTTTACCACCTGGTATTAAAGATTAATGTTATTTATAGTGAATACTATCGATATTCGTTTTACGTGACATACACATAGCGGTTTGTTATTTGATGCATGAGGCAATAAAAAATTATTGAAATAATCTATCAAATAACAAATTATCACGTGTATGCCACGTAAGACAATTATTGACAATCTTCACTATGAATAACATAACTTGTTATTATAACATGAAAGATCTAGGCTCCAAATCATCAAGGCATGACTATGACCAGTGTGTTTCTCCCATGGCACCGTGGCCAAGGTTTAGCAATCGCATCCACTTGACTAGGACATTCACGACGGGCAAGTCATACACATGACCTCAACATTTTTCAGGACAAGTCACACTTAAATGTCATACTTTAAGCAGTCACGACATGGATGCGTCATGTTAGTTTGGTAATTGGCATCTCCGCAAGTCTGGGAGATGATTGTTACATTACTCTCGATAAACGACAGATTTCTCACTTAAAAAGCTCAAATTCCTTTTTGAAAGAGTCTCCCTACAATATAAAAGAGCTTATGCAGGAACACGATTTAGACAAATTTCACGGAGTTGTTGCTCCGACGAGATATCCAGCGACTGGATTTCTTGATTGATATCTGCATTTTTCTAATTATTGTAAGAAAATAATATTCTTTTATTAAAATATTTTAATCCTAAATTGTTTCTGGCTTCAGTTAGCCAAATGTTCGAATAAAAAGCTGCATTCTGCAATTATAAGTCAGGCAGTGGTCCTCTGGCAACTCTGTTAGCACGTGATATTTGGATCCAATGCGTTGGACACATCTCATCTTTATCATCTCCATTGCTGATAGATTATGGATCACGTGAATTTTTAATTTCGAATATGTTTCTCATATATGCTACTGTTTAGCATAAATTTTTATTGTAATCAATCTAAATTAATTTGATTACAAATCAAGATTTTAAGTTGTAACTAATTTTTTTCTAAACTCCACTAATTTAATCTAACTAACCTAATTTGTGAAGACTTATGGGATTAAGTGATTAAGAATTTCGATTTCATTTAGTTCAGTTAGCATTAATTCGTTCCAACATCATTCAACCATTTTCATGTGTGTTAACAATCGAATTAACCAATTTTAGGTAGGAGTTTCTCATGAGAGAAATTAACCCTATTCACAATTAGTCGGGAGATATACATGCTAGAATTATGTAACCAATCATAAAATTGAAATTAAATAACAAAAAATTAAAAACATCATCAAGTTCAATATATTGGATGCCAAGGAACAACAATCCTAACAATTCTCTTCTTCAAAACTTTTATATTTCTCGACTAATTGTGTTCTTCAACATTCAAATTCCAAATTTGGGTACAAATCTTAAGGAATTTATATGTTTGGATGCGTAATTTAGCCTCAAAATTGTATCTTTAGCATTCCGTTTAATTGTATTGCAAGATTCTTGTTTATTTAGGTTTAAAATAGAGTTCCAAGATGATAGAGAACTATAATTTTAGTCAAATTAAGATATCCCAATTTATTGGAAATTATACTTTGACCTTGCAATTTGATCCCTATTTCTTCTTTATTGTTTGGATTGAGTCTTTCGATATTGCAATTGAGGTCCTTCATAAAATTCGCATAATTAAATACCATGGTTTTATTTTATTACATTACGAATTATTGTTGGAAGTTGTTATTCGTGGCATATATATACATATAATTTCTCTTGAAAAAATACACTGAAATCATTTTATATTATGTATTTTTATGCAAGATCGATTTAAGAATTATTTTAATTTTATTTTGATCTGGAGCAAAACATGAGAGTTTCGGATGATTACTGCATAAGTGATTCGATCGTAATTGTATCCTTAGAGTGATTGTCCAAAGAGGTTGCAACAGTTAATGATTATTGTTTATTCTCGTATAGCATAAAAATGATTTATTGGGAGGGCCATGAGAAATCCACTTCGCATCTTTGCTTCATCATTAAAGTCTTTTTGCTAGTCCAAACTCTTTTAATTGTCGAGCAAAAAAGATTTCCGACTAGATGCTCCTACCCCACCATGGTCCAAAGCTTGTTTCAACATCCGAGGCAATTTGAGTACCCGAGCTCGTAGCCTGTGGCAAAGGCAGACTTTTTGGTTACATTTCCAGTTTCAGTTCGAGAACCAATGCCAGTGAATACCACAAATTTCACTTTACGACACCACGCTGTTACAAATCTCGATCTTTTGATAAGTATTCTTATTTTCTTTATTTGGTCAAACTAGCCAATAATATATAACAGTTGAAGGCAATTACTCGATGATTTAGTGAAATC